GATGCACCATTATTGTTTAGAATTTCCTCCCAACAATCAGAATTGCTGAAAAGGCACTGTGAAATAATTTGTTTTCTATAGCTGGTTATGAGAACCATATGATGTTGCACGGCCACAATTTTGGACTTCTGCTAAGAGCCAGATAATTATGAGATTGGTTTCTGTGAGTCTGGAGCCAAAGACCGTGCCGGAGAGCCGCTCATGGGGGGCAACTGGTGACCTCAGTAGGGCGTGAAGGACGAGCTCGAACCGCTCCTCCTTCCCATGAGACTGCAGTTGCCCCGTCACCATAGGCTGATACCTGGTTTTCCAATAAGCTCTGAGGTGGCAGCCACCTTGCTGCCGGGGGTTGGCTGGGGTGGTGGAAGGGAGCAACACCCTTTCACTCCTGGGGAGGCATGGCGCCATAGTTTAATCCATGGTCCATTCACTTTTCTGCCGCAAGTTGGCGGACTCTAGATTAAGTCCTTTTGCCTCAGGAGCCATGGCCGTGCTGGAGAGCCACTCGTGGGGGGCAACTCCTGATCTCTGTAGGGCGTGAAGGACAAGCCAGTACCGCCCCCTTCCCATGAGTCTCAATTAAACAAAGTTTTGGGATAAAAAATATCCGCATACATAAATCAGTTGTTTCTATATACTAACAATAACACATCTAATCGAGAAGTAGGAAAATAATTCTATTTACAATAGCATGAAAATATAATATGAAATTTAGGAATAATTTTTATTAATGAGACTAAAGATTTATATACAAAAAGCTAAAAGAATCTGCTGAAATAGCACTAGAGAGGTAGCACAGGAGTTAAGGCATTTCCTTTGCATGTTGCCGGCCCCAGTTCAGGCCCCAGCATCACAGATTGTCCTCTGAATGCCACCAAGAGTTATCCCTGTCTCCAGAGCCAGAAGTAATCTTGAGACCTGCTAGGTTTTGTCCCCAAACAGAACCAAATGAAATATTAAAAAAATAATTTGGTAAGGAAATTAAGGAATATATACACAAATGGAAAAGAATTTGTGAATGAGAGTATTGTTAACATTGTTGCTAAATATCCATACCACTAAAAAACCTATTGTTTTATTTCCATTAACTACTTGAGGAACCATTTATTTACACATTATAAAATATATTATTTTAAGTGTATATCTAAGAGTTTGAATTTATATTTTCAGTTAAACCTCACTATAATCAAATCTGAAACACTTTCTCACCCCTTTCTTTTGTTAAATTTTCCAGATCTGAGCCCCTGAGCAGAAAGAACTCTTGATCTGCTTTCTGTCTATAGAGTAAATTTATCCTTTCTAAAATTTCATATAATAGAATTATGAGGTAGTGTTCTTTTGTGACTGATATCCTTTGCACCACATACTGCTTTTGAAATTCATCCTTTTCGTGGTCTATATAAATGGTTTTTTCTTTTTGTTGCTGGTTGATAGGCCATTGTATAAACACAGCAGTTGGTTTTCCTGTTGATACTCATTTGCAATTTTTGAGGTATTGTGAACAAGAGCAGGAAGGAAATAAGATTTCCGAAGAAAAACCAATCATTTTCCTATACTTAAACTATAAATAATACCAAAAAATTCTTATGCATTCTTGTTTTTCTTTTTTTTTTTTTGGTTGGTAGGGAGATTTTTGGGCTACAGCTTGAGGTTCTCAGTGGCTATTGCTGATCCTGTGTATAGAAGTGACCACTGGTGGGAATTGGAGCCGGGAATTGAAACTTGGTCAATTGTATGCATCTTAACAGTATTTGGAGCTGGGAATTGAATCGTGGTAAATCGTATGCAAGACAAGAACTTTACTCGCTATATTATGCATTTTTTGGTTAAAATTTGGGTAATTTAGAATGATTAATAAGAGAATAAACATTTGACCTTGATAGGGATTATAGTTTGTTTTGGTACACTGGCATAGTTTAAGTCCTATAACCTAATAGGTGCTCATTATATATTAAATGATTGTGCAGAGTTACTTTGAGGAGTTTGGAATTGATTTTCCTATCTCAAGTTTACATTCTGTTTCTAAGTTAAATTAGTCAATTATAGTTTGTTTTATTAGTGGAGGCAGGGATCCTCCCAAGTAGTGCTCTGGCATTAACTGTCTTCCTGTTGTCTATACAAAAAGGAAATTGCTCTAAACTATACAAAGGACATAAGGGAAAGAGAAAAGCAATATTTCACTTACAAACGCAAAATTCAGAGTTCTTAGAAGATCTAAACTTACAAGTCATAGTCTGGATGTTGGTCCAATGCTAGTTGTGCCCAGGAATACCAGTTGGGGTGAGGTGCATCCAGACAAACATGGCAGTTTGGGTGGGGGTGGGTTGGGACAGCCTCCAGGGCGCACTCAGTGTCTTTTGTAAGCAAAGTTATGTGCCACTGAACCTTGAGCTATCTTCCTGTTTCACTCTTTTAATTTTAAAAGTAAAACATTAATGGGCAAAGGCTTAAAATTAAAATGAAATTAAAATAAGTACTCTACCTTAAGTGTATTTTTTATAAGAGGGCCAAGATGACAGTTTTTAAGTTCAATATTCTTAGGTTAAAATTTTTGTAACTCATTAAATTTATAAATATCATTATTTTAAAATCAATTTGTTCACTAATTATTGTCAATGTGATCTCTTTCTGGGCCAGAATAATTTTTAAGTTCACATATATTTACCTACCTAACACTCCATTTTTCTTTTGCTATTAAACATATTGTCAAGCTAGGTAAATGTCAAAGATCTCAGCTACGGCAAACAGAGTTTCCAAAGGTATAATGATAAAAAACAGCAACAGTACTAGAAAAAAAAAGTATACCTTATTCAATCTATCTTTATTTTTTTGTTTTAATTTTTTAGGCTTTGCTTATAAAGGTTTTCTTGAAATATGACTATGAAAAACGTATGCTTTAAGAAATGAGTCTTTTTAAAAAATATTTCTCTTTCATAGAATCAAAATGAAATACAGTTACAAAGTTGCTCATGATTAGGTTTCAGTCATATGATTTTCTAGCACCATCCACTCACAAGTGTAAATTTCCTTCCAACAATATCCCCAGTTCCCCTCCCACTGCTCTGCCTCTCACCCCACCTTCCCACAGGGCCTGCCTCTATGGCAGGCACTTTTCTTCTCTGTCTCTCTGTCTCTGTCTCTCTCTCTCTTTCTCACTCTATTTCTCTCTCTTTCTCATTCTATTTCTCTCTCTTTCTTGCTCTATTTCTCTCTCTCTTTCCTTTGGGCATTATAGTTTGTAATAGAGATATACATGATATTTTTATCATGTATATCTTTACTTACTTTCAACACTGAGTTCTTATCCAGTAATCTATCTTTGAGCCACTGTTGGATTTCTTCATACATCCTAGGCTTTGGATTTAAAGTTAGATTTTAAATACATACTCATATGAGATATAATTTTCCACAGTTAATATATATTGATTAGAAATAGAATATAATGCTTTTTTTCTTCTTAATGTGTGCATGAATGTATTGTGTGTGTGTGTGTGTTACAATCTTAGAAAATGGAGAGGTTTTTCAATGAGATGTTGGATAGGAGCACTGAGAGTGATAGCTTTCCTTTTTTAATGTTCTCAGGGAGAAAGCATCCAATTTTGGCCATATAGTAAGACAGATGCAAGGTTTTTGTTATCAAGTTAAGTATACCATGCATTCACCCAGTCTTAGTGTTCTAAAAGTCTTTGTGAAATCCTGAATGGGTAATGGATTTTACCATATGATTTTCTGAACCAAATGATATGACTATACAATTTTGCTTTTTTAGATTCTTGATGTAGTAGACTATATTAATGAATTAATTTTCTGAATGTTGAAGTCAACTTTCTCTACTTTGAATAAGTAACACTCGATTTTGCTATGTAACTCTTTATTTTTTTGTTTTTTCTTATGGGTCCACAGTTGGTGGTGCTCATGAGTTATTTCTAGCTCTGCACTCAAGAAATCACTTCTGGTGACCATATGGGATTCCCGGGACCAAACCTGGGTCAGCCAAATGCAAGGAAATTTCCCTACCCATTGCCCACTCTACTATCTCTCTGGCTCTGTAATACTAGATTTTCAAAACTTTGTTAGATTTTATTAGCCACAATTCTCATAAGAATTTTGCATCATTGTTTATGAGAGATACTGACCTATAGTTCTTATTTCGAATACTTTGCTATTAGGTAAAAATTAATATTAATGTTGCACTGTAGCACTGTCCCCCCATTGTTCATCTAATTGCTTGAGTGGGCCAGTAATGTCTCTGTTGTGAGACTTGTTGTTACTGTGTTTGGCATATCGAATATGTCATGGGTAGTTTGCCAGGATTTACCGTGCGGGCAAGATACTCTTGGTAGCTGGCCGGGCTCTCTGAGAGAAGCAGAGAAATAGAATTCAGGTTGTCCAAGTTGGCCACGTGCAAGGCAAAGGCCCTACCACTGTGCCATATTAATATATAAAATGAATATATAATGTTGATATATTTTGTTAAGGTTTAATATTAATAAAATACTTCATAAACTGAGTTAGGAAGTGTTTCCACTACTATTTTCTAAAAGAAAATAAGGGTATTTAAAATAAGGGTATAATAAGTTTGTAATTTATTCTTTAATTGTATTTACTGGTTTTGGCATATCGAATACGCCACGGATAGCTTGCCAGGCTCTGCCATGGGGGCTGGATACTCTCAGTAGCTTGCCAAGCTCTCCGAGAGGGATAGAGGCTTTTGGGGCGGCCTCTAATTGCACTTGTCAAGAGACTGCGTGGCTGCCCACCTATGATATGGTCAGACTTCTTCATTAAGATCCTAACGATTGGTTTGAGGTTCTTTGTGTTCGTAGAATGAGCAGACGCCCTTGGGCTACACTAGCATGTGACAGGGAGACGTTAGTGGTGCCCACTCGAGCAAATAGATGAGTAACTGGATGTCAAATGATCAAGTGATCAAGTGATTCTTTAATTATTTTGTAAAATTTACTATTATTAAGACTAATGTTACAGATTTAAAAAGTGAGAAAAAGGGCTTCTGCTATGAGTGGCACAAGTAAGGAAACTTACTTGCCCTCATAAGGAATTGACATCAAGAGATTTCAGAAGCATCTTTTTTTTTTTTTTTGGCAGCTGGTGATCACTGATCCTAGCATCCAAAAGGAAAAATAAAGTGATTGTTAATTTAATTTTTATTAGATAATAGCCCATTTAGATTGTTTCCCATTGCATAAATTTTTATAGTTTGTAACTTTCAAGGAATTGGTTCATTTGATATGAGTTATTTGGTCTCTGGTATAGAGATGTTTGTAGCTGTCTTTTATTGCCTTTTAATGTATTTTTAATAAACTTAGTAGTAATAAATTCCTTCCTGTTTCTGACATTGTAATTTTTTTCCCTTTCTCTGTCATTTCTAAACATTGTAATAAGACAAGAGAGGGAATAATAAAAAGCATACAGATTAAAAAGGAAAGGAAGCCCTGGACCAAAGACACACTACAGAATTATGTGGCTGATTCCAGGTAGATTGTGAGCACTGCATATGATCCCTTAAGCATATGATTCTAGAGAACCTCCAGGACTGACCTCTGAACACAGAGTTGGGAGTAAGGTCTGAATAGCATTGCTCATTAATAGTATACATTTATTTTTTGTACATTAATTATTAGATACTTGGCACTAGCTAAAAACTACCTAATAACTTAAAAAAAAAGATGAAGAAAGAGAAAGAGATGGAGAGAGAATACTTTCCATTTGCAGATGACATGATTGTCTGCATAGAAAACCCTAAGAACTATGTGATGTTTTACAACTAGTAAATGAATTCAGGGGAATGAGACCTATTGTATTTACTAGTTTTGGCATATTGAATACGCCACGGATAGCTTGCCAGGCTCTGCTGTGTGGGTGGGATATTCTCGGTAGCTTGCCAGGCTCTGCGAGAGGGATAAAAGCTTTTAGGGCAGTCTCTAATCGCCCTTGTAGGTGTTCCCATGGTTCAAACCGTATTTGAACCCTATCAAATATGGTTCGGTAATATTGGAAATGGATATTAAGTGTCTTATGATGTGCGGTGGCCATGCAGTCTGGAAAGCGTCCTGGAGCGTGGTGGCAGCTGGGTAGTGGAGGTAGTAGAGGTCTGCCGATGAAGTTCTGATCTGGTACCAGTAGGGTGGGTCTTCTGTGTGTAATCCCTGGTCTCTGGAGGTTGGTGGAAGCAGACAGGGCAGGGTAGGGTGGGGCTTCTGGTTTTAATTCCTTGGTCTCCCGGAGATTGGTGAGAGCAGGTAGAGGATCTTTGTTCCCAGGTCCCATTGAGCCTGGAGTCCAAGGTCACAGAGTTTGGCTTCCCTGGTTCTGTGGGGCTTAACTTGTGCGTGAGTCTTGGCACGACCGTTGGAAAGCGTCCTGGAGCATGGTGGTGGCTGGGTAGTGGAAGTAATGGAGGTAGTGGAGGTCTGCCAATGAGGTATTTATCTGGTACTGGTAGGATGGGTCTTCTGTGTGTAATCCCTTGGTACCCAAAGGTTGGTGGTAGAAGACAATGGGTCTCATTCCCCTGACCCTGAAAGAGCTACCAATACAGCAGCATTAAAAAGTATAAGGAAGGAGAGGCTGGTAAAATCTCAAGGCTGAACTAGGCTGCCAAAACGAAGAACAAAAATGACTGCTTGAGGGCCACAGACCAATGGAACAGGGTGGAATATCCGTACACACAATCCCAAATGTATGAACATCTAAACTTTGATAAGGGAGCAAGAAATGTGAAGTGGATCAAGGAAAGCCTCTTTAACAAATGGTGCTGGCATAACTGGACAACCACATGCAAAAAAAAAAAATGGGCTTAGACCTCGACTTAACACGATGCACAAAAGTCAGATCAAAATGGATTAAAGATCTCAACACATTCCAAAATCCATAAGGTACATTGAAAACAAGGTCGGCAAAACACTCCACTATATTGAAGCTAAAGGTATCTTCAAAGACGACACTACACTGACCAACTGAGTGGAAACAGAGATAAACAAATGGGACTATCTTAAATTAAGAAGCTTCTGCACCTCAAAAAAAACAGTGACCAGAATACAAAGACAATCTACAGAATGGGAAAGGATATTTACCCAATACCCATCTGATAAGAGGTTGATATCAAGGACATACAAAGCACTGGTTGAACTCTACAAGAAGAAAACATCTAACCCCATCAAAAAATGGGGTGATGAAATAAACAGAAGCTTTCCCAAAGAAGAAATATGAATGACTAAAAGGCACACAGGAAATGCTCTACATCACTAATCAGGGAGATGCAGATCAAAACAACAATGAGATATCATCTCACACCACAGAGACTGGCCCACAACCAAAAGAACAAAAACAACCGGTGTTGGCACGGATGTGGCGAGAAAGGGACTCTCCTTCACTGCTGGTGGGAATGCCAACTGGTTCAGCCCCTTTGGAAAACAGTATGGACGATTCTCAGATAATTAGAAATTGAGCTCCTATTCTACCCAGCATATCCTGGAGAGGCAAAAAAGTACAGTCAAAATGACATCTGCACTTCTATGTACATTGCTGCACTATTCACAATAGCCAAAATCTGGAAAAAACCTGAGTGCCCGAGAACAGATGACTGGTTAAAGAAACTTTGGTACATCTACACAATGGAGTACTATGCAGCTGTTAGAAAAGATAAAGGTAAAGGTAAAGGCCCTCCCGTTTATCGTCGATTTGCTCGAGCGGGCCCAGTAACGTCTCCATTGGAGACTTTGTTGTTACTGTGTCTGGCATATCGAATACTCTCGGTAGCTTGCCGGGCTCTCCGAGAGGGGCGGAGGAATCGAACTCGGGTCGGCCATGTTGGCCGCGTGTAAGGCGAACGCCCTACCCGCTGTGCTATCGCTCCAGCCCGTTAGAAAAGATGAAGTCATGAAATTTACATACAAGTGGTTCTACATGGAAAGTATCATGCTAAGTGAAATGAGTCAGAAAGAGGAATAGACATAGAAAGATTGCATTCATCTGGGGAATATAAAGTAACAAAAATGGGAGACCAACACCCAAGAATAACCGAGAAAAGTACAGGAGTTTCACTCTGGGGCTTGGAGGTCAGTCACACATTCTGGGGGAGAAGGCAGCTCAGATAGAGAAGGGAGCACCAAGTAAAGATTGTTGAAAGGATCCTCCTAGGATGAGAGATGAATGCTGAAAATAGACTATAGACCAAACACGATTGCCACTCAATGCCTCTTTTGCAAACCACAACACCCAAAAGGAGAGAGAGAACAAAAGGGAATGACCTGCTACAGGGGTGGAGTTGGATGGGGGGGTGAGGGGTAGGAGGGATGCTGGGAGCATTGGAGGTGGGGAATGGGCACTGGTAGAGGAATGGGTACTCAAACATTGTATAACTGAAACCCAAGCACAAAAAATTGTAAGTCTACAACTGTACCTCATGGTGTTTCACTAATAAAAATTTTTAAAAAATGACTACCTGTACTTTCAATGTACGTAAGCTGGCATTGAATGCATCCATCGAGGACATGATGGTCAAAGTGTGAAAGATCAAGTATGACATCATTGGTCTGACCAAGATGAGAAGGCACCAATCACATCATGCTGTTTTCGACACTGGAGAAGAAATGTTACTCAGAACATGCGACAAAAGAGGCATTGGTGGTGTCGGTGTCCTTGTCAACACGAACTTGGCCATGAGCATTGATTCATTCGAATGCCTAACAACCCAAATCGGATGATTACACTTGAATAGATGTGGCTCACTGCTGGCAGTTTCTGTCTTCGTTGGCTACACACCAACATACAATTATGATGAAGGAGAAATTGAGAAGTTCTACATGGAGCTGGAGAAGTACTATAAAGAAGACCACACTTTCTACAAGATCATTGTTGGTGATTTTAATGCCAAGATAGGACCAAGAAGATCAGCCAAAGAACTCCATATTGGGACCCTTGGCCTAGAATGGAACGAACAGGGTGACTGTCTGAGTTCATCATATCAACCAAGACCATCCATAGTAACTCACAGGTTCAAAAAGCCGCATCTAAACATTGGACATGGGAATCTCTGGGTGGATGTTTCCACAACAAAATTGACCACATCATATTTTAATTGATGATTTTGCCTGACCGATGTCACTGTTGTCCCAAAATTCCAAATGGGATCAGACCACCGTCTCCTTCCTGCAAAATTCTACTTCACAGAGTGGGGAGAAAGGACTGCAAAGTTTAGAAGAAAATTCCCAGAACAACCACCAGCTGGGAGTTCTTTGGCACATTTGCGGCAACCTGGGAAGATGCCGTCATTGACAACATTGTCGAGGAATATGATCGACTGGTTCAGCACCTCCATGATTGTGCAAGGAATGCCGAGAGAGAGATATCCACAAAAAGACACCTGTCTTCGGAAACTCTTGAATTCATTTGCCAACGTGGCTTGGCGCAAACCTCAGGCAACCGCTAGCGAACATCCGAGCTCACATAGCAGTGCAGAGAAGCGATAAAGGAAGACCTCAAAGAGAGAAGAGCAGCAGTGCTGGCAGATGCAGCAGATTCGGGTAAAAGCATTTGCAATGCCTACTTGTCCTTTGCCAACTACAAGAACAAGATGACTGCCCTTCATGTCCTGATGGACCTATCACATCTTCCAGGAGGCAATGAAGAAGATTATCCATGATTTCTACTCGGGTCTCTTCGATAGCCATGTCCACCTGCCCACATACCAAATTCCGCAGGATGGGCATGTCGTTCCCAAGGTTCTTCCTTCCAAAATCTGACATGCCTTTTTTGAACAGCACCCGGCCCATACAAGGTCATACTTGAAAACCTGAAGAATCTGTCGCCTGTTCTCATCAATACACTGGCTTGGCTCTTCACATGCTACCTGTCTGAATGCAAGGTTTTGTTCCAATGGAAAACCAGCAGGACTGTACTACTGTACAATAAGGAAGACATCCATGACATTGGCAACTATCGCCGATCTGTCTGTTGTCTGTCGTTTACAAGCTGACATCAAGTCATCATGAATAGGATTGGAAGAACACTAGACAAAGAACAACCATGCAAGCAAGCTGGGTTCCGAAAAGGATTCAGCACGTTCAACCATATCCACACAATAACCAAGCTCATTGAGGTTCCTTGGGAGT